GACACCCAAAGGCCCTGTGAGCCCTAGTCAGTTCTGTCTAACTGGTGGTGATGGACATGGCGCCCTCAGTCATTTATGAAGACTGCATCATTGATGAACTCTCATTAAAGCATGAACTGTGGCTTATCTTTTTAGGCAATTTCTAGAAATGGGATGCGTGTACAACATTTCATTTGCATCTTATTAATTGCCATTGTAACAAATTACATAGATTTTCAAATGATGGGCAGGGGTCAGTATGTATCTATGAAATAAGTGAAATTAAGATTATGCTTGATTCTTATCCTTGCTAAAGGAATGCAAAACAATGCCAGTGATCTCAGAGAAAGTCCTAGGATCAAGACTCTTTTCATCTTTGGTATACGATTTGATGAATAGAACAGGAGAAATTTAGCAGAGAAATAATAAAAGCATTATGATCTCAGCGATGTATACTGTAATCCTTGACAATTATTATTTTTTTTTATTGTGAACTGAATGATAGTTTACATGGGAGAACATCGACTTTACACCATAGTTTCATTGCAATGATCACAGTCTCCTCGGTGTATCATCATTCAACAGTATTTGCTTCCATTTTTGGAGGGTGGGCGTGGAAAGATGTACACAAAAACACTCAGGAATAGATAACAATTTAAACAACCAAAGAGCACCTTCTGCAAGCCTGTGCTGCCAGCACTTAGTCCTTTTCTTTCCTTGAGTCTGGAGTCCTCAGCTGCTCCCTCTCTCCATGTCCCCATCTCTGCCTCCATCTGTGGTGTTGCTGCTTCTTTGGATAGGGTCCCACATTCCGCTTGTGCTCTTCTGCCTTATGGTCCTAGAGTCCTCTATTGCTGGACTGTAAGCTTAACTATTCTCCCGGTTTTCTTACAAAACTTCTACCTTTACAGTTGTGACAGTCGCTTGACAATTATTTTTGTCAAATTGTCCACAGAACAAACTGGAAGTCTTTTTTTTTTTTTGGTGTGTGGGGGGGTGCAGTTCTAAACGTGCCATCTATTACCTGTCAACTGTTTTCTGTTGTCTGATTTCTCATAAGGATAAATGATTTTTTTGTGGCATTCCTTCAGAATACAGAAGAGTTGCAATGTTTCTGCCATTTTTATACATACACCCAAGCAAGATCCATCCAAGTGTATGTCCAAGTTTTTGCTATTGAAATATTTTCATATGGTGGGTGAGGTCTGTCTGTAAATTGTTAGACAATTTAAACAATCTTTCATCCTTCTGGTGTGGTGCTGTGAGTTAATGCGCTGCACTGCAAAGACAATTTTAACCACAAGGTTGGTGGTTCAAGCTCACCAGCTGCTCCTTGGAAATCCTATACAGAGTTGCTATGGGTTGGGACCAACTTGATGGCACTTAACAACAACATCCTCCTCCTAGCCACAGAACAATCTGTGAGATGGTTAGGGATGATGTTGTTAAGTGCCATTAATCAGTTCTGACTTATAGTAATGCTGTGTAGGGTTTATGAGGAGCAGCTGGTTAGCTTGAACTGCCGACCTTGTGGTTCAAACCAACCTTGTAGTCCAGCACATATTTTTCTTGTTTTGAAGTTAGAACACAAGATATGAGACTGAAGTCTTACCTTAAGCCAGTACAGAGGAATCCTCTCTACTAGTTCTATGTGTTCTCCTCCTCTACTCCTCCCAACCTCTCTGAATAATTCACCTAATTGGTTGATATCTATCTAAAGTTAATATGTCAGGAGACTACAATCAGTCTCCTTTTGTCTTTCTGTAGAATAAAAGTGAATGGACAGAATTTGACTGCTGAGGTTTTTTTTTTTACTCTTTAAAACAGTTGTATCTATTTCTGGCATACATAAACAAGGTATATTCTTATACGAGGTAGCCTGAGTTCTAGATTCTCAGTCCAAGTTTCTCTTCTTCCGTGTTTCAGTCCCAGTTAGCATTGACCACATTTTAATTTCCCTGAATTTACTGCCAGGATCCTTGTTACTGAGTTGCTTTGGTTCTGAAGGAATGTTACCTACTTTGACAAGCCAAACAAATGCCAGGCAACTTTTCCATACATTTTTAATCTTGTTTTATATTTGTATTGTAATCTCCCACTAAAAAGAATCAATTGGAAAAGTCTAGAAGGCTGTAAAGCTGGATTTACAGAATGGGCAGTATTGCTTAAATTGGCTTTTGGAGGTTGTCTTTTTACACTAGAGGTAACAAGGGGCAGATTATAGTAGTACCTAACGCCAACCTGTTCCAACAGGCTGCATCTTCCTTTGTACAAATTTAAAAAGAATGGGTCCTCACGCAAGCATTTCAAATCCAGAAACAAATTTGAAAAAAATTGCTACAACATGTTGACTGATTTCTTGCCAAGTCAGACACTGAGAATTTCTTCTTGATCAGCTCTTACACAAAGAAAATTAAAGAGGTAAAAGCATGTAACCTTTTTATTAAAAAATTAAACTTCACTACCCTCTTAAAGGAATCCTGGTGTGGTGCTGTGGGTTAATGTGCTGGACTGCAAAGTCTCTTTGAACCACAAGGTCGGCCGTTCAAGCTCACCAGCTGGCTTCTCAGAAATCCTAGTCGGAACTGACTCGACAGTACTTAAAAATAACAACACCCTCTTAAAACTCTTCTGCCAAACTCTTCTGCTTTTACATTTTTCTCTTTACTATTAGATCCTCTTCTCCCTCTCCTGCCATTTTCTTTATTTCTAATCCTCCTCTGTAATGTACACAGTTGCTGTTGATACAAAGATATATCTTGGAGAAACAGCATTCTGGAGATAGTATATTTAGATATACAGATTCAAACTAGCAGAATGGTTAAAAACATTAAAAATAAAAATGCTTGTCAGCAATGGAAAGAAAGCTGTTTGTAGCCAGCAGGTGAGCTGGAGAAGACTACAGGGCGTGGTGGAGATAGTAATAAATTAACTGGCAAGCCAAAAACTATTAAAAAAAAAAAATTCAACTATTTCATACCATAGAGGCATGACAGCTATGAAAAAAGGAGTGCCCCAGGGAATTCTTTTGGAGTTTGATTTTTTAAAATATGTTTGACATGAAAAATGTTTTAGTACAAATAAAGCAACTGGTATTAAACTTACGGGGGGGGTGTGTGGAATTGTGGTTTAGAGTTTGTATGAATAATGCATGATATTTAAAGAAAGAACAGCTCTCAAATGTTCCAGGAGGCAGTCCATGTTGGTTGGAATGGTGATTTTTTTCTCCCCCCGTATTTGAAGCATCATTAATTCAGCATCATTTTGTGATTTTTTTTTTTTTTTTTAACCTGATAAGATGTAGACCAAAGAAATACCATTTTGTTTAGATTCGGATATTCTTTCTTCAGATAATTTAGTTTCAATATCAAGAAGATCTGTAGAATTATTTAAGCATAAAGTGACAGTCATTTACGATAAAAAATAATTTGGCCTAGTTATCTTTTTTAAAAAGCTCATATAGCACTGCAAACCAAAAATCAACCTCATGGAAGGGGAAAAACAAGATCAGATATTTTGAACATTACTCCATAGGAGACCAACACAATATAATGTTAGTGAATGCATTGTAGCAGCGCCCCGTATGCAATCAGAAGCCAATTGTTACTGGACTGTGTACAGACACACACTGTGCTCAATGGTCTGATGAGGTATTATGGATATGATGCAAAGAGACTGTGTAGATTAGAAGCTAACAATTTGTTAAAAGTGAAAGCAACTTAACATTTACATTGGGCCAGCTGAGTGAGTAGCTAGCTCTTCATGTAGCAAGCAGGATGAGTTCCAAGGAACTGGGAAGCTTCCAGGTCTTACTGTCCATGCAGAAAAAACACAAAACAAAACAAAAAGGTTTTATTGCTTTCCAGTGGACAACCTTTAATAAATACTCTGATGCTTTCTAAACCGTCTCTTCATTATTACTTTCATCCTGTTCGTGTGCAACAGTTCAGGCAAAGCAGTGTGATTATTATAAATGTCAAAAATGTGTGGAGGGACAGCCTATTAAAATCTAGCCTGAAGGTAGTAGATGACACTGATTTTAAATAAGTAGCTGAAGCCTAATTGATAGTCCATTAAATCACTGATACTGTGTCATTTGTCCATAAGTGTTCGTTTAGAGTATAGTTACTACTATCATGATGCACTTCTCCTCACTTGGTCTTGCTTTTTCAAGCCACGACTGGTCGCCTATTTTTGTTAGGTCACAGAGGGTACTTCATGTGCCCTATTTGGTCTTGGTGTGGAGTGGGATATAGCATTGATCTTTGCTGAAGCATGTTCAATCTCTGCCAGGCTCTTGATGTGGATATCTCATGTAAAATGTGTGGTTATTTAATCAAATTATCACCAAAGAGTATTGGCTGAGTGCCTAGTATGCATGATTCTGTGTTAGGTTCTACCAGACATGAATCCAGAAAAGTGTGCTCTCTACTCCTTGGGATACGAGGCATTTCTGAATGGTAGCAGATAAGATCAGCTGCCTTCTCACCACTTTCACATCGAAAAGGTTGCATTTTAATGTTTTCTTTGTTTATTAAATAAAGTTTACAGTTATGAACAGCCAGTAGTTCATAGCCTCTCTCTCTCTCTTTCTCTCTCTCTCTCTTTAAGATTCTTAAGACTCTTCCTTGCCTATCAAGCCAAAATGTTTTTGTTGCTCTAATATAAAAGACTCAATGCTTTCTCAGTGTACTGAGTGTCAGCCTGGCTTTAAGATATTTTTTTACTCTTAAAAAAATGATGTATTACAAGATTTGTAATGGAGTGAACATGCTTGAATTGCACATTTAATTTTTTTAACATCACATTCATGTTTTGCCAGTTTGCCTACCAGCTATCTGTTAACAAAAAGTTCCAAGGCAGCAATGCACGTCTGTGCCCAACGAAGCCTTTTGTTTCTGCAGATGTTTGGGCTTAGAGCAATGTTGTAAAGCTCAGGCAATCCAAGGACCATGTTTGTACTTGTCTGCTGTGATTCCCTGTGCATTGTCTAAACCTGCATGCATTGTTCTCTCTGACAGGTGATAACTACCCTGTACAGTTCATTCCATCAACAATGGCAGCTGCTGCTGCTTCTGGACTCAGCCCTTTACAGCTTCAGGTAAGTGCCAGAAGAAAAAAATGTGGGATGCAAGCCAGTGCTTTAGTGGGAAACTGCTAACCAGCTGTATGCTAAATAATGGCTTGAATGTTAAATAATTTTTTAAGTATAACCCAGAAGGATTAACACCTTAAGTGCTTATCATACTGCAAATGAAGAGAAAACTGCCAGTTTCAATGTTTTTAAAGGAAAAAATTAACTTTATGACTTAATACTCTGCATTCTCCAACAGGTGAGTGAATAGCCTCATAGTATTTTTTAGGGCTTATTGTTATTGAATATCTTAGTTTTTTCCATATCAGTTTTGCATCCTTTCTCCATTTATGTCAAGATTGGTGTTTATTAATAAGCATCAAAACAGTGAATGATGCTGTGTAAGTATATTCTTTCTTGTAGATCATAGACTAAGTGGTTGCTTCTCAAGTTGTTTGAGAAGTGTTTGGTAAAAATGAAACATGCTGCTTCTAAATATGGGTATTTCATCCTTTCCAGGGTCAAACCAACTTCTAGATTAGTGTCCTTTACTTGGCAAAGCTAAACATGTGGAAAAGTGTTTTGGAAGTTGATAAAAATTCATCTGCACTTTATTTTCTTCACATGTAAAATGAGAGGCTTGGAGTAAGACCAGATGATCTTTATACCCTCCTAACACTAAATTTTAATTGGAAAGTAACTTTCTAGAAATGAATACATATTTAACAAATAAAAGCAAAAAGATACGGTCATTAAAATGTCTATGAAACCTTCAGCATTTAAATGTTTAGAAAATAAATGCAAATAAACAACTTGCATTTCCATACAGGGGAAAGTATATTAAAGATAGTATTTTGCTTTTAGAATTTACTGATGATTATATTTTTGCTTTCTTAACAATACAAAGATTAGCATCTAGCTTGGCATCTTTATTTCTAGATTGCTTTTCTTTATGGGAGTTGAACTTAAAAAGTGTACAAATATTGTACTAGGAAAAAATCCTTTTGAACTTTTTCAAATGAACCTGAAAATACAAGGCAAAAGAACCCAAGGGATCATTTTCTCAACACTTTGAGAAGTTTTTGTCATAAGCCTAGTTCAGAAAGCCATGAAAATATTATCCACTAAGGACTAGCCAAGCTAGAAATGTTGCCTACCAGGAGCAGTGGTTCTACCTTTCATCTAAGCCTTCACCGTTTCCACTACTAACCCTGGAACCTATTACAGTTGTTAAAAACAGAAAAAGAAACCTTACTCATAGTAAATCTTACCTATTCCTCCTTTTCCTATAACTGTGTTATAGAGTGTTCTTCTCAAATCAAGAGACAGAAATAAGAAAACAGTACCATTGTTTGATCCTACAGCCAAGGGAGTGTCTGGTTTTCGTGAGAGTTTCTGGATTCTAACTCTTCTATTTTTGATTCTTTGTTGTGGAGATTTAGAAGTACGTTTTCTGTTTCGTGAGTTCTGACAATGTGTTTTGTCTTTTTGTTTGTTTGTTTCTGACTATGCTACTAAACAGTTGGGTCATGTCTCTCACCCACAAATTAACCCAAGGCTAAAGGGCCTAAGTGACCATTTTGGCAGGAGTTTGGACACCTTTGAACATGGTGGTGGCCACTCTTACAACCACAAACAGGTTGAGGTATGAATGCTTCCATTGGTGCTTCATTGGGTGGGGGTCTGGATTGCTTAGTCAGGCTTTCTTTGAAGCTGGAAAACATTCAACCTAAACACCAAAGCCTAATCTTTTCTCTCATCCCTAGGAGCCTCTTCTTTTGCTCCTTTTCTTCCAGAGAAAAAGGAAAACCCCCAAAACAATGCCCCTGAACTAGAGTGTCTTCAAAATCTTTCTTCTTCTCATTCTTTTATCCATTCTTATATATAGTGCTATATAGTGTTTTCTTTATAATAATAATAAAAAGTAAAGATTTTTATCTCATTTGACCATATTATAACTTTATAAATTTAATCCTATAAAGTATAATCTTGCTTTTCTAGAGTAAAAACTGTGGTTCAGGGCAGTCAAATTCTTTCACTAAGGTGACAGAATGTTCATGAAGTCAGGGTTTTTACCCACAATTTCTAACTGTACCTAATTCAGGTTTCCTAACTGAGTTTTCTCAGACTGAAATATGTGTGGGTGCTGGGGTCTAAATGGCTGCTTTTCATCCTGGTAAGCTTCTTAGCATGCTTTTCATACTTAGTCTCCCAATAAAGTCCTCTCTTGTGTGTGTGTGTGTGTGTGTGTGTGTGCACGCATGAGAGATATTCTTTCTTTTGAATCTCTTTGAAACTGCTGTCTGCTACAAATACCCAATCCTGCTCTTTCCAATTTCATGGTTAATTCCTTTCCTGTATCATTGGAGTCTCTCTCTGGGGCTATCAGATAATTGTTGGGGTGTCAGCTAGCTGTTGAATCAAACAAGGGGGAAAAATGGAAACAAGTTACCTCCGACTAAAGCACATTTTAATTTTCTGGATTAGATCTCATACCAAATTTTATATCCTTGGTTGGGAAACTCAACCCAACTAAAGGCAATAATGACAACTTGTTGTTGTTGTTAAGTGCCGTCGAGTCGGGTCCGACCCATAGCGACCCTGTACAGGGTTTCCGAGGCTGTAAATCTTTACGGGAGCAGATCGCCTCATCTTTCTCACGCGGAGCAGCTGGTAGTTTTGAACTGCTGACCTTCCGGTTCGCAGCCCGATTCGTAACCACTACGCTACTAGGAAGGTTATATTCATTACCTATTGACTCTGCCAGTTGTGTGACTGGCACAAGACTGGTCACAGCTGAATTCTGTTGTCGGTGGCACCTGACAACAACACCACGATGGTTACTATGTAATCAATACAGAGTCTCTTTGACATTATTTTTTTCTCTTTGAATTTACTTTTTGGAATATAATAGAGGACGCTCCCTCCTACAAATAAGAATAGGACAAGATCAAAGGCCACCTTGGAAGTCGCCTAAGGAAGAGTTCCAGAGCATGTTGCCTGCCTGCCTCTTTCGCTTTCACTTTGATATGTGAGGTACACAGGGGTTTCCACCCAGACATGAGCAGACATATACGATTAGCATATTTTCTGTCTTTTATACATCCAAAAGAAATACCTTTTCTAAGAGAGAGTACCTTATTTCTTGGCATCCTGAAAAACTACTATGCACAGGAGAGTTCAACAGGTAACCGGACATTAGGAAGCAGTCTTTCTGTATGATGACAGTTCGTTCGTGAGTGTACCCACTTAGGACATACGGCATCAGAAACATTTGAGTACTTGGAAGAATGTGAAAGCAGGTGGCCTTCAGTTGGACCCAAGATCTCAGCTCCAAATTTTATTTTTTGTTAGGGTTCTGTGTTCTATCCCATCAACCTTCCCTTAACTAGTTTTCTACCAAATCTCTTAATTTGCCTAATTTTTTACAAGGTTGGCTTCTCTCCTCCCTTACCATCACCAACGCCTATGTTGAATCTGGCTTTTGTTGGGTTTCTGGAAACCATCATGTCATATATGTGAGTACCAGGTCTGTGTAGTGCTGTATCAGTGAAGATCAAGAAGCATGACATGTGCCACATGCTTGCTTTAATTAGGTTGAATAGGGAACCCGTTAATGCAGGAAGACCATAGGTTTGCAGTTCAAGCTTGAGAGTTTCCTTGGTTTTTGTGTATCCATGCTCTGTTTGCTTGCTCTCATTTTTATACCTTTTCCTGTATGCCCAGAAACCTTTGATCTGTTTGCTTATATGGCACATTTGTTATAAAAGATCGACTTTATATGAAAGGCAGATGTCCCAAACGTTCTGGTATAAGTATAATATACTTATTGGGAAATCCAAATACACAGTTGTTGTGTTATTGTTTGATGCTGAGGTGGTTCTGACTCATTGTGACCCTGTATAGAGTTTTCAAGAGCAGATGGTAGGTTTTAACTGCCAACCTTGTGCTTATCCTACGTCACATAATGTCTCATTAGCGTGCCTTTAAAAAAAAAGATCCAATCAATACAGTGGATGCCAAGTGCATCTGCTGGGTCAGGTAAATTCAGAGCAAAGAAATCAACTCAGAAGGCTATGGTGATGGTTTGGGGGAACTCCTAAAGTGTAATCTTGATAGATTTTCTTGAAGGACACAGAATGATTTATTGGAGAGAAGTTACAGGAAAATTAACAACTGCATCATTGTGATAAAAGGCCAGGAAAGTTGTGCTGAGGAATTTTTTCCGTCACAACAATGCACTCCTCATTCTTGGATGGTAGAAAGGGCTGTCCCATAAGAATTTCATTGGGAAACTTTACCTCATCCACCCTACAGCCCTGATCTTGCCCCATCAGACTTATTTTGTTCCCCAAACTCAAAGAACATTGAAAATGAACATGATTTGTGTCCCTCTAGTAGGGACCGTCAAAAGTGCCAATCTGTAGAGATGGCAGTTAGAGAAGACAGAATTCTTTGGGGAAGCCTAGAGAACTGGAAACACTGCCTTCAGTAGTGTATTGACCTAGATGGAGGAGATGTTGAAAAACAATTTCTTAAAAATATATTTTTACTTAATAAATGTTTTTTGACTTTTTAGCAATAGTTTTTTTTTTTTGTTTTGTTTTTGTTTTTTTGCTTACCCTCATATTTATAATTTTTGTAGTGGGTTTTTTTTTTTAGGACTTTTGGTATGGCACTGAAGGATCAGCACTGGACTATGAACCGCAAGGTCGGCAATTCAAACCTACCAGCTGCTCCTTGGAAATCCTATACAGGGTCACTATGATTCGAAACCAACTCGACAGCACTTAACAACAACAATAGTGTTTTGCACCTTGGAAGCCTGAAATTTTGTTTCCAAGTGGGGAACAGATATTTTAAATGGGGAAAAATGTTCCTTACATTAGCAAATTTCAGTTTTTTCTTTCTTTCTTTAAAATAAGAAAGACACAGCAAAGACTTTACTTTGGCACTGCTGTACTGATGGAAGACACAGTTTTCGCTGCCTCAGGGGCACAATAGTACGAGAGAGAAGGCCAGAGGAATGCTATTTTTAGTTGAGCGGTTCAGCAGATGGAGGTGTGAATCCTCATATATCTGAAGGGTAAGGGACTTGAACCATTAATTTTGATAATGTATTTAACCCTGGGAACAATCAGAAACTGTAACTCTGAGGTTACAATGTTTTTGACCTTTAGAGAACAGAAAGAATTTGCTGCATACAGTAAACAACATATTATATTACTACTTATTCTAATTTTCTCACCCAGTATAAATTTCAGGTCCAGTTGCCATTTGCTTTCCTCAGCTATGTTAGCATTGGTCCTCCAAGTAAGTGAAAAAGAATGTTAAAGAAGGGGAACCAGTATAATGAGGCAGTCATGTAAATATGGCCTTTGCGTAGCTAAGATGCTATATTGTTTCTGAATAAATATTGTCTCAGGAACTAAGCTCTTAGTGACTTTTTTTAAATGAAAAAGTAGTTCCATTGTATTGACTCATTTTGTGTCATTGGTTTCAACATGAGAGATGCTTAAAATAATTTTGTTTTGTTTTGTTTTTAATTGGGTGTAATGCTGCCTCATAGTTTTAGCTTATATTAAACACAATCTGTCACCATATCAAGCGAAGTGACACACCTGTCTCATGCCTTCTTATTAAATGATGCTTCTCTTCAGCAAATACAGCAGTTAAATATCACACAGCTTAAGAATTTCTAATTAAAATATCTCCACGTGTCAGCATATTGGTAATGCATTATTTTAATCCATTTATTTTGTTTATGAAACAGTGACATATGTTTAGATTGTGAAATATATGAGCCTTAAAAATCACTTTATTCAAGAAAATTAATTCCTACAATACTGTCTCTGTAATGTGTTCACTCACCCAGTCAGTCACTGGCGGTACTGCCAGTCTTAATGTCGGTTAGACACACCAGTTTCGTCTGCAAAACAGTCTTGCAGAAAAACAATAACAGTTCTCTTTTCATAGCTCCAGATGATAGGGCTGCTTCTTTTTCTTCTTCTTTTTTGCTTTACTCTTTTCTTCCACATTAATTCACACCTCTTTCCACAAACACTTTTTGTTGCGTTTTTTTTTTTTTTTCTTTTTTCTTTTAATACAATGAAGGATGAGACTGAGTATGTGTATAAGGGATTCTGAAAGACCAATCCAAATTAAAAACAAGCTAGTTACCTTTTCAAAGTTAGACACAGTGATTTGTTTGTCAGCAGGGAGATGTTTGGGTCAGGCCTGAGATAAAGTGACTGTCAGCAGTTATTCCTACAAGACAAGTAATTTCACTCAATGTATTTCTGACAGATTGCTCACTTCTCTGAATCACCAGAGAAAACAAACTTAATATTGTTACAGGCAGAGTTTCTGTCTTCATTAGCCTCTGAGAATGATTTTTATCGTACAAAGTCCACCAAGCTTTAGTTGGAACATATTTTAACAGACTAGTTCTTCTAATGATAGTATGGGTAGTAGCCTAAATGAAAGGAATTGTAGATGAAAATTCAGAAATATCCATATAAATACATTTTCACTCTTATGTCATGGCCATTCTGTGTAGTTTAGGGGAGATTTGGGAGAAATGGTGTAATTCGAGCTTTAAAATACTAGGAAAACCTGTCAGCTATATAAGTTATTCTTGAGTGA